GGACAAAATGAAGTTTAACTCTCACTGGGATGTGGGCTATCAAACTTGTGGCTGAATCCTAATTCTAAATAAGCCTTTAAATTCTTCCTTTCTTTAGGAAAGCTTATCTAAAAAGTCTACATAAGATAGTTCCAGCTAGTTTTATGACTTCAAATCAATCTCATTAAAGTGGAGGACGGCTTCTCTTTGGCTTCCAGCCATGTCGCCTGGCTGTTCTACTCTTTGGCCTATTAGTACCCTAAGTGAGGGATATAGAAGTGAAGGCACATGTTCCAGTGTCCACTCTGTCTTCTATGATTAGTAACAGTGCCAGCTGGTGTAAGCCACAACTCTTTGGCTCAGGTCCTGGTAAGTATTAAGAGTTCCAAATGAGGAAAGGTTATAATCCTTGTAAGTATCTAGACTAGAAATGCGAAACAGGCTAAACCAGCAATTCTGAAATTTTTTGATCTCATGGTCCTTTTGCAACTCTTAAAGCTTTTAGAGATCCCAAAGAACTTATTACAAAGAACTTATTACAAAGAGCTTATTATTTTAAAAAGATTATGTGGTCTTAGCTACCAATATTTACCATCTTGATTTTAATTTTACTCAGAAAGTTTAGACGCATTTATTTACTTTAAAAGTAACAATAATAACCCATTACATGTTAACAAAGATAACACACTTTTTATGAAAAATAATTCTTTCCAAAACAAAAAACATTAGTGAGAAGAGTGGCTTAATAGAAGACAGCTAGATACTCATATCTGCTTCTGCATTCAGTCTGTTGCAGTATGTGTTTTGGTTGAAGTATACGAAGAAAATATGTGCAAATATGTATCTGGGAAAGAGGGGAATATTTTATTAGCCTTTTCAGATAATTATAGATATTTTTCTTTTGTACCAAACCTTGACAAGTAGTAGTTTCTTAAAAGATGTGCTACATTGTGGAATCTGAAACCATATCAATGAATTTCTCATTCTCTTTAAAATTTACTGGTGAATGTTGATTCGATCTCTAGCCATGCATGATTTTGTACCAACATGGATTGATAATTTGGAAAAACTATTGGTTCACTGTGTTATGTAGCTCTTTCCAATGTAGACACATTTCATTATGAACTATTTTTAAAAATGACATTCGTTAATATCGTCACTCATCTCATAAAAAAGCCTTTAAATATTAGGAAGCTGTCAAGCTCAGGGTGGCAGATAACAAGTGTCTCAACATTCTAATTTTCACTTGAAAGCTTGAATTGTACCATTTTGGCATCAAATAGTGTAAATTGTTTACCTTGAAATGACAGGCTCACTTTGATCATTTTTAAAACAGTGTCTGCCAAATACCCAAGTCTGAAAACTACAGTTTG